CTTGTTAGTTGTTACGCTGACAAATATATAATAACTTTACGAGTAAAATAAGTCTTTATATAATGACTAAAAGTCTAAAAATGAGGAAGAAACTTAAGTTAACTTAAATTTCAAAAAAAAAAGCGTTAACTTTTTCAAAACAATATATGAGATGAAACCAGATAATTTACTATGGTTTTAAACCGGGAAAGAAAGTACATGGGCTTTACAGACTTGGGCCTTTTTCATTTTTTTTTATGTCACTCGTACAAGTACAACCCAAACTCTGAAATATCAACATTTTTTTTTAGGTTCTAACTTATTAGAGTACTAGAACCCGCGCTCTGTTTTAAACATTGATATATAGAGTTAATTATTTAGAAATAAAAATTTGATTTATAATTTAATTTTTAACAAATTAATGGATACTAAGATCTGAGATGTGAGCCTAAACCTTCACTAATGCATGTAAACTATTGAAAATAATTTATATTTTTAACAAATTAAGAAGTACTAAACTCTCAAATGTAAGTCTAAACCATCACAAATGCACGTAAAATATTCAAAAGAATACATGTATTTTCTATATTTATTTATTTGTTTTGAAGATAATTAATTCTATGATTTATGATATTTTTATCATTTTTTCACTATTACTGTCATCCTATTTTTGAGTTTTCTCATTTCTATTAATTTTAATTACTCTGAATGTTTTTTATTTAGTTATACTTTTCATTAGCTTTTTTTAAAGAAATGTTTTTGGCGTGTGTTAAATGAGTGGTCTCTGGTAAGTTTTGGCGTTTGCATTTTTTTATCACGTCGCGCTTTACATTCTCATACAACTATGTACCATCGTTTATATCTTGTTATAGAAACCATTATTTAAATTTATAAGATCTTATATTCATATTTCATAGATTCACCACTCTTAACCCGCGCTGAACTCTGTAAATTCAGCTTGACTATATAAAAATTGGTTTGGATTTAACGGGAAATAAAAAAATAAAGTACTAGTTTCATTCGAGTTTTAGTAAAAATTACTACAATAATCATGGTATGATTACTACATAAAAAAATATGACAACCTAAACTCGTTAAATGCTTATACCTTATATATATTTTTTAAAATAAATACTATATTTTACAGATAATTTTTTAGCAAACCTTAAGAGTTTTAACCCTAGGGAAGTTTTAATCCTCACAAAGAAAAAAAAATGTTTCCATACATTTCAGATATAGAAGATTGGGTCGTATATATAGTATTTTTTTAAAATAAGGTTAATTTTGACGCGTGTTAAGTGTGTGATGTTAAGAATTAATTTCACTTGTGTTTTAGTAAAAACTACTACAGTAATTATGGTATGATTACTACATTAAAAAAAATATGACAACCTAGACTCGTTAAAAGCTA